GGTATTGTGTAGTTCGTACAGTAAATGGCAATGTCTGAAAAATTATGTATGCGATTTCGGTAATTACTCGAGCTAAAGCGAGAGTCACAGTTTCGGTCGGGGGGTTTTTCGACCTTCTTTAGCTCTGACCAATCGAAACAAATCGAAGACACATGTGATTATTTGTGATTATCTTATTGGCGTTCAATGGCTCATTCGTCTTCCTGCTCTTCGTGCTAACTTTGTTTACTCTATGAGTATGGCTCTGAGGACTGTGCTACTCTTTATACAAAAAGTATAATAGTAGTGCATTTCAATACATGTACTCGATCAAGTATTTGTGAATGTATGCTTTTTACATACTCGAGCAAAAGTAAACGACTGTACGCTTTATAAGCGTACTCGATCAAAAGTAAACGGCTGTACACATATTCGGTGAACTCAATCAAAACTAAACGGCTGTACGCATATTTTGTGTGCTCGATCTTAATTCCATCGGAATCGAAATACTAGTTTACATGCGGCAGCCGGGCAGTGTTTTCAAAATACTACCTGCCAGGAAATTTAGTCCCAAAGTGTTCTCCCTAACTCCTAATCCTAAGACCTGATCTTAAAATCAGACTCAATTGAAGTTGAAAAAATGTTTTTAAAAATTTGAAAATAAAACAGCACTCAACTCAACAGATTCGAACTCGAGAACCACGCTTCGGAAGCGGCGCCTGAACCACCACGTCACAAGGTAGCCCGCTGAATTAACTCGTAAATAATGCACTTTAGACGAGTAAGATGTAAAATGTATGAAATAAATCTTGATGTGAATGTGCTGAATACGATATTTTACAAATACAAACTCTCCTCTTCTAAAAGCTCCAGCAAAAATACTCCTTTAGCTCGAGTAAACGCTTAGCAAGCGTCTTGTTCATGTTGAATTTAATGAATAACTCTTTAAAATTTCAGCGTACGTAATGGTATTCCTACCAAATATGGCATCTTTGTAATTCATGTGACAGAAGGTTCCCTGGCAGAACGTGTTGGTATTATGGTACGTTATTTCCCGCTTATTTACTGAGACCGAGGGAAACAGTGTGTTTTGTGGACCCGAGACCACCGTTGTTAACAACGGCGGTCGTGGGGCCACAAAAGACACTGCTTTCCCGAGATCTCAGTAAATAAGTGTTTTGTTATATAGTATATATAAGTATCAAAGTATGAATAATTCACCGGTGATTGGAGTGAACTTAATTTGAAACCAAAACTGGATAAATGGAACGCCGTAAATGTTTAATAAAAAGTTTAAAAAATGAACTTTGGAACTTCGTGGTTGACGCGCATGCGCATTGCACCTATTCTATTGTTGACCGGTCAATAAATGTTTCATTGTGCACCGGTTGCCTCCTCGCCAAAGCATGCAGTGAACATGACTTTTGTGGACCGGCACGTGATACGGTTTTTGACCAATCGGCAAACAGAAAAATTGAACTTTGACAGTAATTAATATAACAAGTTATCTTATTCGTAGGACTCTAAAGGGTACTAAAGGCGTGCGTAAAACTTTATACGACATGTATTGCGCATTCCCATGGCATTGATGTAACACCTGCTGAATATCGGCCTCTGTGACATTTGGACATATTTCATTAAGGATGTCTGCACCATCATGATCATCCTTGGTGGCATTTGGGCATATTTCAATTTCATTTAAAATGTCTGCTGGTAGCTCCTGATCACAATCAGAATCACTATAATGGGCAAAACCATGTCTTAGCAATTGACAACTATTGCCATTATGAAATTTATATAGCTACTGGCTGATAAACTCGTCAAACCTTGTACAGTGAACTCTATCATAGACAGTGGCGTAGGAAGATATTTTAAGGAAAAGAGGGCTAAAATTTGAGGGGAGCCCATTAAACTGCAAAAATTGAGGCTCAGAAAAAAAAAGTGCCATTTCCTGCACTTTCTTGAACAAAATTAAAGAACTTATACAGCAAATATATTTTGCAACAGTTGTTTCATGTTCAATTTTTCATTAGTCTGAATGACTTGACTTGGGGCTTAGCGATCCATAATATCAGTGAATTAATTGAACCCACAAGTTGAACTACCTGTAAATAAAAAAGATCTCAGCTTTAAAAAAGAAAACATACAATGTCAAGTACCATTTTTCCCCTTAATTAACAATTATAATTTCTATATCTGTATATGCATATATACACAGATGAGTTGTATAGGATGCTCAAACTGCCATGCAAAGATATTGCATTTGTGAAAAACAAGATTTGTCAATCAAAGTTTGCTAATCATGCATGTATATATAAGAATCTCAGATAATTTCTTTGACTTTATACCTGTCAAATATGTTCTCAAAATCTGCATGTCTTGGTCTCTGTAAAAAATATAACAAAATTTTGTCCAGTCCGATTATTTACATTATGCACAGCAGCTAGATACACAATTTGAAATGTGAATTCACCCTAGTAGCAACACAATAACGTGCGTAAAACTTTAAATCTTTTTAAATTTTATATAAGTAGTAATTACCTCAACAGCAACTCATTAAATCATACAGAAAACTAAGTGTTGTCTTTTTACTTATTCAGTTATTTCATCAGTAGAATTTAAGTGAATTTAAACGTTTCCGTGCGTACACGCATTCTGTATGAAAAACGATTAACTGGAAAGCAATTGAAGAGTTTTTTAGATAGAAAATTGTCGAGTGTAAATTTATATACATTTGTTGGACCTAACCACGAACAACTGCGAAAAATTCAACTATAGGTCCCTGGCAGGAAATCAAACCTGTGGCGGCGCTCTAGCCAACTGAAATACAGTGGCCAGATATAACTATTATTCAATCGAGTGAGATGCCAACAAAATCTTGATCGACTATTTGCCCATAACTGGAAAGCAGCCTTACGTCGACTTAGCTACCGTATAACAACGCTATCTATGATTTATTAGCTATTATTCATTACTTAATCATTTTCTTTACTCAACATTGTCAAGCATTTAAATAATAATAGTAAGATTAAGTTTTTAATTGAATTAGCTGTAAACGGATTGCTATACTCAAATCAATCGTTTCCAAGTAGCAAACGTACGGGAAAATACAGGGGCCGGTTGTATAGTTAAATCCTTAACTGTAATTAGTTAGCGTGGGGCGTTTAAACAGAAAATTACATAAAGTAAGCAGCGAGTAACGACCGCTGACACACATTTTCAACATGATTGTGGACTCGTATTTTGCAAATAGGCGGGAATTTTATTCAAAACACTAGAAAACAGTGAAAAATAAACAAAAAATAAAGAAAAACCGCCACAAAAATCATAAAAGAATGCAGTTTTTCCTTGAGATGTCTACGTTAAACCAAGGCATAGCTGTTTGGCAATTATATATCAGTGTTTCTTGGTGTAATGGACCATACTTCGTCTTCGAGAAATCGTCCTGTGCAAAAATATGTTCTGTTTTCGCAAAAACACCAAAGCGATAGCGTTTGAAGAGTTTATATTGTCAGGAAACATTCACAGGGAAGATAGCGATTGAAAATCTCAGGTAACCGTTGCTTTTCATTGTTGTTTTACTGAAAAATTATGTTCACTCCTATACAAACGCCATTTTTAACTACGTTTTGGACAGTTAACTATACCCTAAAGCATAGTTAACTTTAACTACTTTTTAACTGCAGTTAAGGCTAACTACACTTTTATACAACTGGCTTAACTACGTGATTAAAGTTAACTATTTTTTAAGGCTTTTTAACTACTTTTTAACTGCAGTTAGCGCTAACTATGTTTTTATACAACCGGCCCCAGAAGTTTTACGGCGCGTGTTGTGTTTCCATTCTCTCGCGTTATACGTTTTCCATTCGCTCGCGTTTCTCTCGAGTCTCATCAGCCAAACCGTGTACGTCTGGCAGGTGAGCATTGATTAAATCAAACTATTTCGAGGCGTATGTAATGAACAGAAGCCGATCAAGGATCTATATATACTTGTTTCATTTCGTCAAAGTTGCTACGAGCGTTTAAGCGTCCACTCCAGAAAAATGCAAACAATACGAAACTGCCCCAATGTGTGCCCATATTAATGACTTTCTTGCCTCTGTTTCTTTAGGTTGGAGATCAGATTATGGCCCTAAACAAGAAGAACTTTGCAAATATTAAATACTCTGAGGTAAGCTTTGACTGAGGTAAGCCTATGCAATATATATAGGATATTAGACGGTTGCGAGAAGATATGGATTTTATGTTCGAGTGGCAAAAACAATATCTCACGAGTGAGCGCAGCGAACTAGTGAGATATTTTTTTTGACACGACTAACATAAAATGCGCGATAGACCTTGACTAGGACGGAGTCCGGAAGGGCGTTTCTTTTCAACAGCCGTAGGGCGTATAAACGATTGGAAGCCTTCTTATACAGATAGCATTTACGTGCAAGTTCCATTTCAAGTCATTTGAGATAGTAGCTTGGCATGCGTAACGATGTTGACTGTGTGATTGTTGATCACAATTGGTGGAATTCAAAGTGACAAACAGACTCGCAGACGACATGTAAATAAGCGCACGAAAGACACTGATAAAAACGATATTTTTTAAAATTATAGTGCAAACATAAAACCAGAATAAATTTTACTTATCTCAAGATGTCTTTTAAATGTTCGTTTTATTTCCAACGTTAATTTCGTTTCCTATTCGAACCAAAGGCCATTTGTATTTTCAAAACCAAGGCCGGCGAGAAGGGGGGCAGGGGGGAGGGGCAAAATACTCGGGGCCCGGAGTGCTCAAAGGGGCCAGGAAATCTCGGTGAAATGTTCGTATATTGTTTATCATCGGCAATTTCCAGAGGGACAGGGGCCCGTGTTCACAAATCGTCATTTGTCCCGGGGCCCGTGGTTGGCTCTCGCCGGCCTTGTTCAAAACAACAACAAAGAAAATGGCATTCTTCGTATGTCACTCACAAGCGTGACAACTCCGTATGTCACTCACAAGCGTGAAATACGGAAAATACGCGAATCTTGTTCCGGATGTAGTGTAAGAACAGATTGGTCGAAATGACCAATTTAAATTGGTTGTCTCAGACGCATTTATTTGCCAATTTGTATTGTTTAAAACAACCAACAAATTGGTTAAAACTACTCAAAAAAATGGTTAAAACAACCAATATTTTGTTGTTTGATCAAATAAAATTAGTAAAAAAAAATGCGTCTGAGACAACCAATTTGAATTGGTCATTTCAACCAATCTGTTTTTACAGTGATAGCATATATGAGTTTTACAATTGTTTTAGTTTCCACTAGAACACCATTGTCCATATAATAAACTGCATTATAGAATAAGCCAGAGAAGTTAACATGCAAGTCTCAATTTGCAAGTCCAAGTCAATTAAAGTCAACCATTTCTTGCATGTCCATTTAGTCAAGTCACAGGTCGGTTAGTTCAAGTCATGCAAGTCAGTCACTCGGTATACCAATTAGTCAATTCGGAAGTCATTCTGTACAGTTATTTTTACAATGTAGTGAGGGAGTCACCCGAGTAGTGAAAGACCCCCATCTGGAGTTCAAAGGGATGCCGCCAATGACGTCACGCTGCTCCGAAAGTAATTAGTATGCAAAATATGTGACGCAACTTTGCTGGCCCTAACCCTAACCCTGGGCCAGGTAGCGCGACCAATTAACGCGGTGGGCCAACTGTGACGGGTAGCGCGACCAATTAACGCGGGCAGGTCTGGGCCAAATGTGATCGATTAGCATTACAATGCAGTAACATCACTATAAATACAGCTAGTGTCCTTTTCACCTGCATAGTCTGTATTCAACACTCACGATGGAATGTTTTCACGGTAAACCAGCTGCTTGTTCTACAACTGCTCTTGGTACGTTTTGGTTTTGTGGCGAAACACCGAGCTGCGAGTTCTTTTGCCATGACGAAGACTGTTATCTGTTTACGAGAGCAATGGAAGCCTGTCAGAATAGTGGTTCCAATCATCCCATTTGCCCAACACATCAGCGACTAGCCAAATTACGTGTGGTAAAAGATAAAATGAAAGAAAATTATGGAAGACCCTTCTTCACGTGTTCTGATCGACATGATCCTTGCAACTTTTGGCAATGGGGAGACGTTTACGAAAGCCCTCGACCACGCTGCAAACACGGGATGGTATGCACCGTACGTAAAGTGAAAAAAGAAGGACCCATCCAGAACCGCCTGTTTTACTGTTGCCCTCAGATAGACAGCTGTGAATTTTTCGAATGGAAAGAGATCGAACCTCGTGTGGCCAAGACTGGCTTCGTCCTATTCAGTGACCCGCTAGAATATCGATACAAGAATGAAGACACGGGAGAAACATTCTCTAGTACTAACATTAATGCTAAGGAAGCGTATGAAGAATTCCTTAAGAAATATGAATAACTGTAATAAAACGAAATAAATTGTTTTTATCATCATGAATGTGTTCTGTATGTTATTGAGATAAATCACTTATATTTCTCATTTGGGTTTTAACCTTTATGGTGAGAGGTTCTCTGGTGAAATGAATAATATAAATATAATTTTTGACGAGTTGAGACAAAATGAAATCGATATCGATAAGCAGACTTTATCGTTTCATATAAATGCAATTCTCAACCACCATCGAGATCTATATCGTGCAGTGGGTGCTCATAGTCTAAACCTTGACCAAGTCTACAGAGATATAAATATGACAAACTTTGGTCGCATTTTTGCTTATTTAGCGTTAGTTTGTGTGCAAAGTGGCAGCGAGGAAAGCGTTCGAGAGCATGTCCGAAAAACTGTCGAGGCCTTTCGAACTTTTTATATCCCAAAAGCGAAGAGGAATAATAAACCACCAATTTTAATAGCGCTCTCACTTACACTATTAGCTTTATATGTTAGTATATGATTGCTGCATGGTTCATTTCGTTCTAACCTCTGAGGTGAAAGGATGCCCTGTTGTGGTAAAAGTCTCCCAGAAATTTCCCTCCGAGATATCTTTCGGAAAGTACGTTGTATTTCCGCTTGCTGTGGAGGGAAAATTGTAATTCAAGCCTCAAACATTGATGGCAGAAAAGTACCTGAGCCAAATCTATTACAATCCAGAAAG